AAATGTTATGTAATTTTAATTTTAGGAACAACATTTGGAAGTTGGAACAATTGTTATTTTTACTACAAGGTGTGTTTGCAATTTATGTAAATAGGTGGGGGTATATTTATCAATTTTTAAGGGTTTATTTGTCATTTTTAAACTATTAGAGACCACTTTGTAATTTTCTCAGGTAGTCGAAACCGAAACTTGTTTAGGAACAAGAACCGACCAGTCCCAGTTTCAATTCCCCTATAATAATAATAATAATAAATTTTATCCTAAGACATATTTTTCACTGCCTTAAAAATCGGACCGGACCGGCCGGTCCAACCGATTGGACCGTGAACCGGTCATGTGTCTGGTTCGAGTTAACCTCAAAACCGCTATTACACAGTGAGCCGCTTTAAACCGGTTGAAAACCGGATAATATCAGTGAACCGCCGGTCCAACCGAACCGGCGGAAAAACCGGTCCACATTTTAACAATCCCTAATACACAACAATGTCACGCAGCCCTTTCTCATCTTCTTCTCTTTCAATCTTTCTCAATTTTTCTCACGAAAATTCTCAGTAACACTCTGATCTCTACGAAAATTCTCACGGTTTCGGCTTCGTCTTCTGTTCTCTCTGAAATCCCACCTAAATCGCGTCTGAACTCTCTTAAATCGACTACGTCTTCCTCCCTCGCTGGAAATCGACGGCGACAGCTCCATTCGTTGACAACAACTCCATTCCTCGATCCAGGTAACGCCATTCCTCGCTCCCTTTACATTTAAGTTAACACCCTTCACATTTTCAATCTATAGAGCTGTTGTGGTTGTATTTTAACAATACTATTGTTTACCTTGAGTGAATCTTTGATCATAAGTTGCTGTTTTTGACCCTTTGGCTGTTGCTGGATGTCAATTTTCGGTTAACCTTTTTTTCTGGATACTGCCAAGTTTATGAGTTTCCTTTTAAGCAAGATTTGTTCAGTACTATTTTTCTTAGAATAAATTTCCTTCACACATGATGTTAGCTGTTAAAATTTGGGCAGTTAACTTACTACATTATTCTCAAACAGTTGATAGACGTAACAACGCATCCACAGGTTTACGAAAGTAACAAAAGACCCAAATTTTTTTACAAGCATTGATGATAACCATCAATTTATTGTATACTTATTCTCCTCTCTTTAAAACCTATATTTTCGTCATCTCAAATTGATAAGTTTATTAGTTTTATCTTACCCATTTCTTACATGTAAAGGAACTCAAATTTCATGTGGAAATTATTTGATTGGCTTTGATGTGGAAATCTATTTGATTGGCTTTGGTAATCACCAAAGTAGTGGAAATAAGTTAATGTGGAAATCTGCTCAGTTTCTAGTTTCATTCTTAAAATTAGTCTCTCCGGTAGATGTCCTGATTTTTTTAAAATTCGGACCGACATTGTGCAATAACATGAGTCAATTCATATAGAAGTAGTTATTGTCTTATTGAAAAATAGAAATCTAAAAAAAAAAATTATTTGTTTAAAAATGTGCAGACATCATCATGATGTGTGATGATGTCACCGATCCAATCGGTTGGATCGATTGAACCGTGACTCGGTCATCAGAGCGGATTGCGCTCCGGTTCGATTTTTAAAACAATGATTTTTTTACCTTTGCTATCTAGTATCTACCAATTGAAAGCCTTCATATATCAAAAAAGAAAAAAAAAAAAATTAGTAATAAATATTTCATATCAATGACGTGGTGCTTCATTACACAAATAATAAATTGATTCAATTTTATAAGAAATGAATGAATGAATAAATTATCAAAACGTAATTCAATACAATTAACTTTTAAAACTTTCCTTGGTCCACTCTCCAGTCTCCACTATCAAAGGATTGAATTCAATTAAAGTTTAGACAATTTTAGGTGACTTATCAAAATAGAAAATTTAAAAAGACACGTGGCAGGGAAGTGACGATCTTGCATACGTTTCTTGCATATATTTTTTAGAAAAGAAGGGAAACCCAGATTCCTTTTCATATTAATTGAAAATTCGTATAATTTATTTTACTTTTAGTTTTCCCTTTTCATCAACATGAATATGATTTTTTTGTTTTCACATTTCAAATTCTCAATATCCAAGTTTAGACCCCACGAGACCTTATAATCTCCAATTACTTTCTCCCTCTCAAAAACCCAACACTTTTCTCCCTTTTCTTCAAATCAAATCTAATCAAACTCATATTCATCGCAAATTTTTAATCTTTTATCACCCATGTCGCTTCATCTTCTTACTTCATTTCTCCTTTTAATTTTCACTTCGCTCGTCTTCTTTCTCATAACCAGAACCAGAAACTCCAAACCTAAAAGTTCATATCTTCATATCCTTCCACTAATGTAATTCTTCCAAAGTCCTACCCAATAGTGGGATCTTTTTTCTCATTTCTAGCCAACCGAAACCAGTTACTCCAGTGGGTAACTTCTATTCTGCAAAATGTTCCTTCAGCAACATTTACCTTCCACAGGTTAGGAGGCCAGGTCAATACTTGACAGCCAATCCCGCTAATGTCCAACACATCCTCAAACTAACTTCTACATTACCCAAAAGGCGACAGAATTCGATCAACTCTCTTCGACTTTTTGGTCATGGTATTTTCAATATTGACGGCGAAGAATGGAAGTTTCAAAGACAAATTTCCAGCCACGAATTCAATACCAAATCCCTCCGTAAATTTGTCGAAACTGTAGTCGAAACTGAACTCTCCGATCGCCTTATTCCCATTCTTGAAACGGCTTCTGCCAGTAAACAAGTGCTCGATTTTCAAGATGTTCTTCAAGATTCTTCAGATTGCTTTGATATATATGCAAGATCGCTTTCGGGTACGATCCAGAATATCTATTGCCATCATTTCCAGAAGCCAAATTCGCACAAGCTTTTGACGAGGGTGTTAAAATAAGCAGCGAAAGATTTCGAGCGACTTTACCAAATCTGGAAAATTAAACGGCTTCTCAATATTGGCTCCGAAAGCGTCTAAAACTTGCGGCTTCTGAAGTCCGAGAATTCCAAAGAACATCATAAAAGAAAAGGAACTAGACCCTGGTGAGTCTATGGATCTTTTGTCACGATTCTTGAGTTCAGGCCAATACGACGATGACTTTGTTACTGATATAATCATCAGCTTTACACTCGCCGGCCGAGACACCACATCAGCGGCTTTGACGTGGTTCTTCTTGCTCACTCAAAAAACCCTGAAGCTGAAAAGGAAATTCTCAAGGAATTAAGAAAAATCAGACACGCTAGTTTACGAAGACATCAAAGACATGGTGTACACGCACGCATCACTTTGTGAGAGCATGAGATTCTACCCACCGTACCGGTAGACTCCAAGTTTGCTGAGAAGGACGACGTATTGCCGGACGGGACGGTTGTGAAGAAGGGCATGCGAGTGGCGTATCATCCGTACGCGATGGGGAGAATGGAGAAGCTATGGGGAAAAGACTGGAGCGAGTTCAAGCCAGAGAGGTGGTTGAAGAGGGAAGAGAGGACACGTGGAGTTTTGTGGGAGGGATTCATATACATATCCGGTGTTTCAGGCGGACCGAGGATCTGTTTAGGGAAGGAGATGGCGTCTTGCAAATGAAGAGAGTAGATAGTAAGTGGGGTTTTGAAGAGGTTTAAGGTGGTGCCGGTGATAGAGGAGGTGTTGAGCCGGAGTTGTGGCGCATTTGACGGCCAAGATGAAAGGTGGGTTTCCGGTCAGGATTGAGGAGAGGCGAGTCCAAGTGAAAGTGGGTGATTATAATGATTATGATTAGAGCTTCTTTACGGTTGTGAAGAAGGGATCGAGAGTGGCGTATCATCCTCTTTGTTTGTTTATTGTAATAGATTATTAAATAATAAAATGAAATCTTAAATATACTCCTCGTTTTTTTTTTTTTTTTTTTTTCTATCTATTAAATCGTTTTAGGGTATACAACGACTTCTAATAAAACATTTCTTCTTTCTCCCAACCAACATTTTTAATTAGTCTCAACCAAAAGAAAATGTTGAAGGGACACGGACGAAACGAAAAGTGAAGAAGGAAGACAGACAAGACAGAAACAGCCACATTTAATTTGGGAAAAAACTATACCTTAAATCGACTTTAGAAAAAAAAAAAAAAAACAGAGAAAATATTACTAAAATGTGAATTATAAAACAGAAAATCAAAATAATATTTTTTTGTAACTACATCTTATTAAATTATAATGTCCTTATATATAAATAATTGACCCCACCCTTATGATTATATAAAAGTTTTACTAATATTTCGTTTGATATTATATTGGATATGAACAAAGTTGTAATCTTTGATTGATAGTAGTTAATAGTAGTGAATCGAAGTATTTATTTGAGTAGATATATCCTTTTATATATATATGTTAATTAAAACTGATATTTTTTTAAACATGCGTTCTAATGCATATTATTATTATTTGTTTCACAATTTTTTATTTAAATATGCTACTCTAACAAAGTTATATAGAAAGCTTAGTATATACAGGACGTGGCACACCATGATTGAAAAGTGAAAATACGAAGTTAATTCATTAAGAGATCAATAATGTAGGGACACCAGGATTTTTACACCGAAATATGTACCGGCCTACGTGTAAGCATATCTAATATTTTTACAATTTTTTTTCTATAGTGAAGCCATCCATCAATTGGACGGCCATTCACTCACAGGACGCCCGTCCATATTATATGGACGGGCGTTCATATACAAGGGACGGTCGTCCATATACAAGGACGGGCGTCCCCATTTAAAGGACACCCGTCCATAAATAAATATAATAAAAATTTTTATAAATATTGGGACGGGTGTCCATCTGTTATGGACGGCTGTCCATACTAAAAAAAAAAAAAAAAAAAAAAAAAAAAAAAAAATTCCGCTTCTTCTTCCTTTCGTAAATGTTCCATTTTCTTTCTATTGGAATAAGGGCGCCATGTAGCTTGGATGAAGCATGCGGCCCATGTCCTCCACTATTATGAGTAGGAACCTGAAGGTGTGCTCCCTCTTCATCTTTCCTAAGTTTCCTAGCCAGCTGATGAAACTCTTCTAGAACTGTGTCTTGTGATTTCTTCTCCACTTCTTGGGTTGCCATTGTGACTGAGTTAAGGAGTAGTGTTGTTGAGATAGTAAAGATGGAAGAGATTGGATGAATTTTAAATTTTCAAAGATGGAATAGAAAAGGGAAAATACCCAGCTGGGGTTGTCTTGAAGAATAAGTTAGAAAGTTAAAGATGAAGTAATTTACAGATTCTTGAAGAATTTTGGATACCTTCGCAATTTTGTGAGAAGCTATTCTGGGGGCAAGATAAGCCAAGATAAGCCAATCCAATAATATTGATCATCTTCCTAAAACATATAAAGAAAACAGGAACTGAAACCCCATGAATAATTGCACCAATGATCCCAAAGCCATTAACACAGAGTCCTAAAAATCTGCAAATGCAAAATAGTTTCAGCAATGAAACTCAAACAAAACAAGAAGAAGAAGAATGAATTAGAATAGAAAAAGAGAGAAAGAATAATGGACGGCCGTCCCTTTAGTGTGGACTGCCGTCCATACATAATGGACGGGCGTCCATTAGTTATGGACGCCGGTCCAAACTTAAGGGACGCCCGTCCACAATTTATGGACGGACGTCCAAATTTTTTATTTTATTTTTTAAAACAAATTAAGTTTGGACGGGCGTCTCGTATTTGAGGACGCCCGTCCAAAATTAAGGGACGGTCGTCCACAACCTATGAACGGCCGTCCATAATGTTTTATAAATTTTTTTATTAAATTTTATTTATGGACGGGCGTCCTTTAAATAAAGGACGCCCGTCCCTTGTATATGGACGCCCGTCCATATAATATAGACGGGCGTCCATGTGAGTGAATGGCCGTCCAAATTTGATGGACGGCCGTTCACTAGAAAAAAATTGTAAAAATATTCAGATGTGCGTTACACGTAGGCCGATACAGAATTTCGGTGTAACTTTTTTGGTGTTTGTAGTGTTATTGTTAAGAGATCCAACCCAGTATCTGTGACATCAGAGCCACAAAGATCAACAGAGAGTAAAGACGACCCTTGTGAAGCAATAACATCCATCCAACTATCCTTCACTCCAGGATATTCACCCAACAAAACAGCCTACAAACATAGCGCGGCTACTTGATAACGGAAAGCCGCCATCAAGAACTAAACAAAGTAAAGCAGCTTAGTTATAATCAGTACTTCAATGCTCAAACCACCCACAAAGTCTTACCTGTAGAGCACAATCTCGGAAAGCTTCCACAGAAGCATCAGTAAGACCATGAGAAGATATCAATTCATTGAAGATTTGTTGGCTTATATATGTCTTCTTTATTGCCAACCTGCAATGAGGGAACAGTAGAAGTTGCATAATTTTAAGTTGTAGGGCACTTCCATCAAAAAATTTGGCATACACAACACTCATGACCACCCATGTCGAAACTCCTACAAACACTCATAAGGGAATATATATTCATTTTTGTAAAACATGGATAAGATATTGAGGTGTTATACAAACATTAAGAAAGTTTGGAGTGGCTAAAAACTGGTCATATACATCATTCCTACGGTAATAGACAATGAGGAATGTCACCAAGGGCAAGACACCTGCATACAACTAATAATCGCAGGGAAAGATAAGGCCATCATTAATCAAATATTAAATTCTTAAAACTAAATGGTTTATTTTAAGAAAAGTAGGCACAACCATGCAGGAAACTTACTAGAACTGCCCAAAAGGGTACTGTATTACTTTTCAAGGGGTATCTAAGATCAATCATCATATCCTTCCCAACAAAACGGCAAAATGGGTGCATAAGCAAGAGGATGGCAATTATCACCACAAGAAGCAAAAGTATCAGCCAATCATGCTTGTGTGTCCTTGCAACTCTAACTCCATGAGACTTGACAGTATGTGAAACAATCTGGTCCTCCATCATTCTGTTCTGTGAATTATACACACATCAGAATAAATTTGGATTAATTGGATATCAAGCTATTAGCTCATCCAACAGGCATATTCAATTAAATAAGGAAACTTATTGTGTTTTATTTAGCTATCTGTGAGCATGGTCTAGGTTTTTCTTTCTAACATTGACCTATATAAAGTTCAGATTAATTCATTATATGAGCATGAAGGTTCTTTCTTAAGTTTTGCTATTATGTTTACATTAGTAATCTAATAGTTGCATTGTTATTTAATCTTCAAAATTAGTAGATAAGATTATATAAACAGACAAAATATGCAGATTCAGAATCGAATAAAGAAATAGTGTCTATCTACCATTTAAACTGCTTTTTGAGGGTCCATTACATTGTATCCATCTCTTAGCTTCACCTCCTTCAGCTCCACCTCAAAGTACCTTGCAAATTTCTCCCAGCACACCTAACGAAAGAGACTTTATGTTATAATTAATTAATGATAATTCATAAATGGGAACAGTTAAAATCACATTTGGAGTAATAATGAGTACAAAAAGAAAACGCACCATTTAGATCGACCGACCTTGGGCTCTTTGTTGATGGCAGAGATGAGATCGGAGAGGAGATTGATGCAGAGGAGAGGGTCAGTCGATTGTTGCGATGCGGAGGCGACTATAGACTCTAGCTGCACCACCAATACGCTAAATCGCGAGACCGGAGTGGAAGAATCGAGAGGTAACCGGCAAGTGCCAGAAGTAGGACGACGGTGACGCATCTGGAGGTGATTGTGGTGTCGTATGGAGGAGATGATAGAGCAGTGGCGTGTGAGATGGAGAGCGAGTGAATCGACAGAGGTGTGATTGTAAGAGCCGAAGATGGATTATTGGAACTTCCACTAAACTCGCTTTACTTCAATGGCAGCTCTTCGATTGCCAATTGAAATAGGAGAAGCCTGAGACAGCAATGTAATTCAATATTAGACAAAGCACCATCAAGGAACTTCAAAAATCAGAGATGCTAATAATATTATAGCAGTTGAAGCTTTGCAACATTCTTCAAAAAATTCTTAGTGCATAGAGCACAAATTCATGAAAAGGATAACTGACATAACATAAATATACACAGAAAGGACATCTTATATTAGTAATATAGCAAATTTTGTCACAGCAGCAACGTCATTAAATTGAAGGAAAAGAAAAATGCATTACATTTCTAAACTTTCATTTCAAGACAAACATCACATCCAGTCGAGGATTACCAGAAAAAAAGGGGGGGAAAAAAGAATGTGCTACATTATGCAAATTATGGTACACAAGCATTTTATGAACATCTTTAAAGTTCTCAAAGAGCTCTTATTATCCACAGATGTTCTCCATCTCAATTTTATATTTGTCATTACATTCAAAATTTTGGTTAAAGCACCTACAAAAATCCAACCAAGGATTGAAAAGATGCAACTCTTGCAAAGAAAATTTTTTATAAAGATTTTAAAGTATCTGAAATTATCACCTAAAAAAGTAAACAAACCATTCTCAACTCAGAAAGCAATAGAAACAATAGTTTTCAGTTTACTCTTCAATAAAGGTAGATGGCCCTAAAATATCCCAAATTTTAGCTTTCACACAACTAACAAAAGTCATTAGGAGATCACAGAACCAGACTATAGAATATAAGCCAGTTTCAAGCAAGTAGTTACAAAGGGCAAGAAGGAATCAATGAGAGGTTGCACGCCATAAACTTAAGGTTAATTAAAGGCAGAAAGAGATTGGCGAACCCAACTATTGACAGCAAAAATATCAAACTACCAGGAAATATGATACAACCAATGGAAGAAAAAGGCTGTACCTTGAGCACACTTTGCTCTGAACTGGCAGATTCAAATTCTACAAAACCAAAACAGTTCCCTGTTTGCTGTAGAAAGAAGTATGTCAACATATGAATGAGTATCATGTCAAAAATATAGAAGAGCTCAAAATAAGTTTGAAACAGACCTTCTGACTTCTAACTTGAATGCCATCTGGTTTAATAGGCCCAAATTGCTCAAAAACCACCTCAAGTTGTCCAGCTGTTGCAGTATCAGGCAAGTTTCCAGCAAATATGGAGTGACCCTTAACTGCTATATGTACAATGAAAATCATTAAGACAGAAGCAGTAGAGAAATAACTGTATACATGTATAATTCCCAAATCACACAAGATACAAATCTACTGATGTAGAGGAAATGAAATAAAAACCTGCATTATTATTGTTTTTATCCACGGAACTGTTGCTATTAGGAGCAGTTTCTATAGCTGCTGCTGCAGTGACCCGTGATTGTTCCACAAATTTAACAGGTGGAACCCTCAGAACAACATTAAATGGAGAATTACTCTTCTTCAAATCATGTACCTGAAAAACATCAATAAGAAAAAACACATTTAAAAATGTTAAATGATCATAATATTTGTAAGATGCCTATATATATTAGCGTACCACTGATGCAAAAGATTTCTTGGGGACTTCGTCTTGTGTTTTAGAAGCAGGGGTCTTTGTGACCGGAGGGGCATCATTCTGGCTTGAAACGATTGGATGCTCTGGAACAACCACTTTCTCAGCCACCAAAACTTTTCCATTGTCCAAAGGATGACTGGCTTCTTTGCTGTTTTCAGTGTCCTCATTTGCAGGGGTTGGTGAATTGTGATTCACAACATGGTTATTGGGAGCATGAATTGGCTCTGTGACAAAACCAGAACGATAATTTTTTTTTTTTCAAACACATTAATAAAGAAAACAATGCCACAATTGAAACCGAGCAACCGAAAAATTAAAATGCAACTTAGGACAGAGAAACCTACCAGGATCAGCAACCAAAGGAGTTGTTGGAGCACTGTCATCAGCTTTATTATTTACAACCCCTTTAGATTCTTCTTTGTCTTCCATTTCTTGATTTTCATCCACATATCTGAAAACATCATTTAAGACTAAGTATCCTTTGTCTTGTGGAGCTAGAAAAAATGATTGAGTGAATTTCCTTATCAAATTATCCTTTTCAAGCAAACAACCAGTTAACAAAACAATCAATCCCTTATTATAAGAAGCTTGAGCATCAGCAGAAAATATCTGGACCTTAAAATTCTGATAGTCCATAGACAAAATCTTGTCATTTATGCCCTGCTCCATAAAGGAAAAACACCAATTAATTAAAATCAATTAGCATAAACAAAAAAAAAAAAAAAACAAAAAAATCAAAATTAACCGCCTTATAAATTAAATTAAAAAAAAAAAAAAAAATACAGACAAACATGAATGTGCTTCTGTGTGGTTCAATTATGCCCTAACTTGAAATTTGACTTAGTTTGACTTGTCGATCTGGTGTGAACCCAGTTAAAAGAGCAGTAAGTATATACAAATATTGTTACAGTCGGCTTACTTTGATGGTCGTCTCATAGCACCGGAAGGATCTGGCCGGCTTAGCATATTTGATTCCTGATAAAATCTGTGAACATTATCAGGTGATTGACAAAGAATACTGTAGTATTGCTCCAGAAAGGCATTCCCAACTACTTCGGGACTTAAGGCAGAAGAATCTGCCTGCCTTGCCATCTGTACAACACAGAATATGAAGAATCAGCTATGCATTGCAAAAAGAAGTAACCCTCTTTTTGAGTCTTACAAAAGAAAATCATAACTGAGATACCATAAATATTGAACTCAAACAATTTCTGCAGTATCAAACTCATAGAGATAGTCAAGTAAGAAAGTTAATAAACATTAAAAAAGAAAAATTGTTAGCCAAAATAGGAATCTGAAACACAAAATTAAGCTTGGGAAAAACTTCTAACTTAGCAAAATAAGTACCAACCCAAGGGCTCAATCTTAAACCCTCAAATTAAATATTAGGGGTGTTTGTCCAAACTTATAAACTAGTCAAATTAGTTTATAAGTTTTAAAATTAAATTGAGTTATTTGTTTATAATTTTTTTGAGTTTATAAGTTAGTTTTTTTTTTTTTTTCTTATAAGCTAGTTTGACCAAGTATATTATCACATTATCCTTATTTAATTTTAAAATTTCATAGTATACCTTTATTTAATATAGTACCCTTTTTAGTGATTTTATAATAAAATATACTTATAAGCCACATTTTACCAAATACGTCAACTACTTACCAGTTACTTATAAGTACTTTAACCAAACACGTAATTGCTTAAAATTTCAAATGCTTATAAGCTAATTTTAGCTTATAAGTAACAAGAGCTTATAAGCACTTGCTAATTTTCATAAGCTCAGACAAATACCCTCTAAATCCTTTTTAGTAACTATATCAATGCAGTGCATTAATATTTCATTAAACCAAATATCTAATATGGTAATCTTTAGAACACCAATGCAATACATTAATATCTTATTAAACCAAGAATATCAATGCAATGCATTAATAATTTAATATCCATTAAACCAACATCATCTGTGTCACTCAACCAAGGTGTGCTTCAGGATCCTATGTGGCAAGCAATATCCTGTTGGAATCCTACATGGAATATAAATGGCGATCAATAGCAAGGGTGGGCTTCAGAATCATATAGATATATAGATAGATATTTAATGTTTCTTATTTACCAAGAGGGTTACTAGCCCTCCGTCGACGATACCAAAAGGTTATGGAGTTTATGCATATAAGAAACTATGATAATCGACCTACATGGAGATAGTCGATCAACATGGCGATCAATCGAATCTATGGTTAAGACCCTCCTCTTATCCCTTATACACATACACCCACACACCTTCTAACATCATCTAAGAAGGGCTAGTGGAAATAGCAACACATTAAAAACATAAAGGATGATATGGTAGTTTTACAAACTATGTGAGGTCTTTTTGCTATTCTCACCATTATTAGAATATTACGACATCCTTGAGGTTAAAAGAGAGTTTAAGTGTAAGAAAGAAGCATGGAGAGAATGGAAAATATTAAACTATTAGGGGGCGTTTGGTTTAGGGTTATATGAGATTACTAAGGTAATGTCACTTTATATTACTTGATTATCACGTTTGGTTGTCAAGTAATATAAGATTCCGGTAATCTTCCAATATTAATAGTAATTACCGTTGGTAATATTAGAGGTAATCTGATTACCTTCATTTTCTTAGGTATTGTAACATTACTTGGTTAACTTATCTTTGTTAAAATTTTATCATTTAATAAATTTTTTGGACAATAATGTCTTTATTTTAAAATCAATTTACATTAATCCACTATTACAATTTTACCCTTGTTTAATTAAGTTTCTGAACAATAATACCCTTATATTTAAAACAAATTATTGACCACCACCACCGCCACCCACCCACCACCACCGATAGTTGGCCAACCACCATCAGCGGTCGCTGAAATTCGTCAGAAGTCCTCGGAGTCACCGAGAGTCGCTGGGAGGCTTCGATATATCTATTTTTGGCCATATTGATGGCCGAAAATGGCCATATTGGAGTAGATTTGGTCGGAAATGGCCAAATCTATTCTAGCCATTTCTGGCCAGAGGGTTTAGGATTTAACAACTACATCCATGGCCGTTAATGACCAGATCTAGGCAATATTTGGCAGTTAATGGCTAGATCTACTTCAATATGACCGTTTTTGGCCATCAATATGGTTAGAAACGGCCATATCGACAACTCATGACGACTCCAGGCAATTTCCAATGACTTTTGGCCACTTCTGGCAGTGGTTGTTGGCGACCAGCAGTGGCTTGGGGTGGGTGAGGGTGATTTTGTTATAAATTAAAGTTTTATATAAATTGGGGTGTTTTAGCTAAATCTAAAATGTTGGGGGTTAAACAAAATTATTCAAAAATTAATAATAAAAATAATATTATATTAATATTTAAAAAGAGGGCAATTTAGTAATTTAAATAACATACCCACCAATTTATTCCAATTAACCAAACATATGTTCCTAAAAACTCTCAATAATCTTCAAGGTAATTTAACTTTTCATTAATATAACAATCCTAGTAATCCAACATTCTCTTAACCAAACGCACTCTTAATGTGACTAAATGATAAGGCCAGTTCCATTGGGTCAGATTTTTTATGAATTGTTCATCTTTGTTGATCTAATAGTGATGATTGATGTTGAGTTGACATCATTAAGGGGCCGTTTGGATCGGGGGTAATCTTCATTTATTTTGCAAGATTTCAGTGTTGGGTTTGCAAGTAATAAAACATTATGGTAATCTTTTATTGCAAATAGTGTTTACTATTAGTAATGTGGGGGGTAATCTTACTACTTTGTTAGGGGGTGTTGTTAAAACATTATCGGGGTAATCTAATTTTTTTACTCATTTTGCCCTTAATTAAAAACCATTTCAAACACAATTGTCCTTAAATGTCTACCAAATAATTATTAGCCCAACCCCCTACATTTGAGAAATTAGCTAAAACACCACAGCCACAAAAAGTTTAAAAGTTAACAAAATATCCCCAACCACCCAAGACCACTGTCGACCGTGACTCACCACCACCGACCACCAGCGTCAGTCGACGTAATGGTGCACGGTCGGTGGGATCTGGCTAGTCGTGCGCCAATAAGGTCTTTTGCTGTGATCCATGGTCGGAAACGGCCAAATCTAACGTTTCTATGGCCGTTTCACGGCTAAAGATGTGGTCGTGAAAAGACCAAATCTTTGGCCTTGAAATGGCACGGCCACATCTTTGGCTGTGAAATGGCCATATATTTGGCCGTTTTCAGGCCATGGATTTTTTATCCATGGCAATTTTTGGCTTTGCTAGCGCACAACAGACCATATACAGTCAGTCTGTTAGTCGTTGATGGGGTTTGTGCAGCGGAAATTAAAAATAAAATCCCTAACAACAACATTGAACCCAAGAACCTTATACCCGATTTACGTTATTTATGTATGAAATGATATTGAATATAAAATTTTCAGATTTCATACCAGCGTTTGGAGGCTCCTTCAATTAATACGAATCGCTCCCACTCTAAGATAAGAGTGAACTCTCAGTATCCACACGAAGACAGGATGGCGATCGACTTGCGGTCTCAAGTTCTAGCAAGACACACAAGCAAAAGGATGCAAAATTTTTCTTCAAGAAAAATTCTCTTCTCCACCAAGTGAAAAACGTGAGAGAGAATGAGGTGAGTAGCGTGGATTTAATTAATGTGTTCTCCCATTTTATTTTAATTTTAAGTTGCTTTTTATATGCAACAAAAATTAAAACCCTAATCTAGTTAGGAATAAATTTATTCCATGACTAGAATAGTAAATCATCATTACCAAACAAGGTAATAATCCACATGGCATCTTATTCAAATTCAAATATGATTTTCATATTCATATATTATCTTTATTAATATCATCAAATATTAATATTAAATATATATTTAAATTCAAATATGAATTTCATATTTCATATATATTATCTTCACTAATATTAATATCATCAAATATTAATATTAAATAATATATACATATAATATTTAAATATATGAATATATTTAAATACATAATCTCACTAATTTTAATTTCAATATGAAATTAAATATAGGCAACGACCTCAACAAATTTAATTGCACTGTGAGATTACCAAAATGCACTTTCATCTCAAAAGACGAAAATATCATTTTCACCATAAATGACGAAAATACCCTTTCATCACAAATGACAAAAATACCATTTCTCACCAATCCATCCTTAATTTGTCTTCTATGTGTGTGACCCAAAGGCTCATAATCATATCGACAATGAGTAGTCTTGCGATTAACACCAATCAATTGTCTCATTAAACATAGACCAAGATTGGCCTCTAACAAGGCATCATGACCTCCCGATAGATTCAGATTCAACGAAACAACTTGCCTATCAACGATATGGTTACCATGCAAACCGATCCTTTCATAATCTGTTATCTCATTAAGGCTGAGGTACAGAAATAGTGTCAACCAGTTATCTTCGATATCTTTGTATTAAGTTACTAGACCAATGACTAGAATAATAAATTGGATTGAGTTGTTGTGGCCACAACTTTAGTGTCATTGTCATTCACTGAATTACGCTGTGAGATAACTTCTCCCATACTCGGGAGTGATGAATCCTTTGTTGATCCACCATAGTCTTAATACACTTCTCAATGCAGCCAATCACTACCGTATTAATAGTTCTGAATAGAACTACGTTACGCTGGTGTCAAACTACACCAATCGTGTAATAGCCGCTTTCTACTCAAATACTCATAAAAATATACATAATAAAATACATATAAAATAGTATAAAAAGTTGGGCCCAAATTTTTCTTTCATTAAACATATACATTCTTTATACAAAATTCGTATCATGTACAAAACTATCAAAAACAAGGTAGACAGTGTAGCCATTTCCCTTCGCTTGCCGATGCCCATCCAACCGTGTCCTCACCTAGATCCTGCAAAAAATAGGAAAGAACGGGGTGAGCACTAAAACAATGCTCAGTAAGCAAATCCTCTACTCATCTAACCCCGTAACTCTCTCTCTAATTCTTTCCTTACAATGCTCATTTACTCGTTCTCTGATACTTATCTCTATTTTCTCTTTCTCATAACTCTTTTCTACTAACTCTCTTTAGTAAGTCACGGCCTCATCTTATCGGAGGCACGATCGGGACTCGCTCCCGCTCTACGTGACTTCTACGCGTTCTAGCCGATCGGACTCGGTTATACATGGATTCGGAACCCTTGGCCATGTGAGTATATAATCTCTCTCTCGGGTACTCTCGAGTATAGCCCTCATCCGCATGCACTCTCATGGGCTACACCACTTCTCTCTCTCATACTCATGCCGCTCTCTCAATGCG